CATCATATGAGATCAAGTCATATTTTTTCATGCGTTTCATTGTATTTCTACCAACATGACCTAATCTAGTATGCCATAATGAAAATAAATTCAAAATATAAGCAAAATTACTTTTATTCATTTCATTGTCAACGATACATAATTTGACAATTCCTTCACACGAATAGTCTTTTCCAACAAATTTTCCATTAAGGGATAATACAAGTTTGTGGGACTCATAAACACATTTGATATCCGATTTTTCCAAGAGATTACCACTAATTAGGTTCCTATTCATATTCGGAACATGTAGTACATTGGTTAGAGTAACGGTTTTCCCGAAAGTGAAGATAATGTCTACACTTCCTTTTCCAAACACCTTAGACTGCATTTCGTTACCCATTTGAATCTCTTGGTCTCCATCTCACTTCTTGATAAGTTTTGAACAAAGATTTATCATATGATACATGTACCGTAGCACAAGTATCATACCACCACCCGGGAACATTTCCTTTGATTGCGTTTACTTTACTTATGGTGGCCACAATTTTGTCATCTTGGATGAAATTCACTTTGACATCGAAGTTGTTTTGTTTTTGGTGCCTACAATCCTTGGCATAGTGACCAGATTTTTCACACACAAAACAACCTCCTTTTGTCTTCTTCTTGGAGTTGTTAAAGTTCCTAAAAGGCTTCCTTTTGTTGGATTTTGCTGGCGATTCTATTTTGTCCACACCTTTTGCTTTAGAAGAGCTCTCATGAGAAATTTCGGTTTTATCACATATTCTAGACTCCTCTTCGATTCGAAGATACTTTTGCAATTATTCCAAAGAATAATTTTCGGAATTATGTATGATATTCTTCTGGTATCCTTTCCAAGTTTCTAGAAGTTTGACAATTATAGCCCCCACTTAAAAGGTCTCTGGTATATTAATTTTCACCACATTTAATTTGTTGATAATCACTTGCAACTCATACACTTGGGGAAGAAGATGAATATTTTCTAAGAATTTAAAATCAAAATATTTAGAAATCAAAAATTTCTTTGTACCTTCTTCTTCCGCCTTGTACTTACTTTCCAATGCTTCTCAGATTTCTTTCGTCAAAGTTGTATTAGTGTATAGATCATACAAACGATCTGACAATGCATTCAAGATGTGGCAACGGCAAATCAATTCATTTTCTTGGCGTTTTTGTCTCTCGGTCTTGATTGCTTTGGATTCTCCTTTCGTTGGTTCCGGCAAAGGCGCCAAATCTGGATCAAGAATATAAAAAATCTTCAACGCCGTTAGAAGGAATTTCAACTTGTCTTGCCACCGCGTGAAGTTAGTCCCGTCAAAACGATCCAATCTAACCAGATCTTGATTCATGAGTTTGATAGTTGCCATAGTTGTATCATTCTCCATCGCAGAATTTGTTTGAGATTGTTGGAAAATAAGGGATTGGTGAAGAAACAATAACAAAATTATAGAAACAAAATGAATAGAAATCATGAAATATGTCAAGAACGAATTTGAGGCTTGTGGTCATCAAACTATATTTGCCCCCTCTCCGGATTGAATGAGATGCTTAAGGGTTTTGGCAAACGGTTTGTAGGATTATATCAAGCATTGTAAATGATTTAATACCAGAGCACAAGTGCAATCCTCCAAAACTTTAAGAACAAAAAGAAAGATATTGAATATGAATGTAAATCAATAGTTTGATTCAATATGGAATGATTTATTGATCTCAAGATGTTTTCAATAATTCTAATAATTTTTGTATTGATCATTCATCACCTATTTGTAGGTCTGAATCAATGCATCACGAAATGGTGCCAAAATAAGATGAAAAATAGCAACTTTTAATCCAAATGGCTCCCAAGTTTCAAATTGAAAAATCAGTCAATGACTATTTTTTAACACTATACGTACACATAGTAGAAGCAAAATTTAATACTGATTTTGCCAAAACACATCTCGCATATGCACAAAATTAAGCCTGTGCGTACGCATAGGCAAAAAATCAAATTTTGCATTTTTCAATTTCTTTTGATTCTATCAATTTTACAATTGAGCCCAACAATAAGTCTATTATCATTCCATTGATTTTGAACAAATTTTCAACTGTGAGGTAACCAGAGCCTTCATCTACATTAGTTATTTGGACCTACTGTATTTGTTAGTTTTCACCAGCTAAATTTGATAAAATATAAATGAAAAAAGAAAGCATCTCCGCGAAAAAAGAAAGCTTAGAAGCTTAAATGTGGACATAGGATATTCAGATGGGAACAAGCATAAGGTCAGACTTAGAGGAGTTTCTACTAATAATGAAGGAAACGACCCTGAAAAAATGTAAGCAAGTAATTTTAAATTTTTATTTATCGTCACAGAGATATTTTGAGTTAATAAAATGCAAAAATAACTCGAGCTATGCATGCACATTGTAACGGCGAAACTGAAGGATGTAATTGATGTAGCGAAGCCAAACTCTGAGTGTTCAAGCTTGTGTTCAAATATGAAAATGCTTTTCTATAGCACGGACACTCAACTCGAGTAACGTGTTCGTATCTGACACATGTCGATATCAACACTTTTCGGACACTCTGCCATAAATAACTTTTTCCTTTTTATTCAAAATATTATATATTTTAATTCAAAATTATTAATAAATAACAAATATATACTATATTCAAAAGATTTCAATAATAAAAATTAATAACAAGTGTAAAAGTAGATTTATATTATATAAATTAAAAATTTTAAATAATTTAATCAGCGTGTCGTGTCAACACTTTTTTGAAAAATTGCGTGTCAGCGTATCCGACACGTGTCTGCATCGATGCATCATAGCTCGAACTTGGCTTGCATACCATTCAACGTTCCAGTTAAGCCAAGCCGAACTCAGTCCTCAGAGCTAGCTTAGAATTTGATAAAAATGACATTTTCTGTCTTAGTACAAAGATTATAGTCATATACCCAAATGTTTGTTCGGTTATGGTACATATTTTTAGTCACTCTTCCCATGACAGAATAATTTTATTTACCTTTCTGAATACCCACAAATAATTACCTTTTTCTTAAAGAATTACTCAATTCCTTTTTGTTTGTCGCACCGCCACTTGGTATGAAGCTTCAGAAAAGTTTTCGCTTGACATCTTCCTGAAAGACCTGAGCCTTTTCCTATTAGTCCATATCGTATGACTATATTTCGAAAATTCCGATTTTATGAACTCGATTCAATTGCCAAGTACTTAAGGAAAGATACGTGAATTCCAGTCAATTCGTTTTTTCTAATTTCGAATATGCAAAGGATCTTTAAATCAAGTAGCCACATAAGATTGGTTTCGAATTTGAAGGAAGCTGCATGTCACGAACAACAAATTCCACCGCGACGACAAGTGCACTTTTGACCTCAAAAATCTGTCGTGGCCAACAACACTTCATCCGCCTCCCCTTCAACCTAAGCTTAGCCTGCATATTGAATATGCCATTGGGAAGCAAAGGTCACGATCAGAAAAGATGTCCAATAATTATTTGCACTTCGACAGTCAACTAGCGAAATAATGTTAGCAGAAGGCAAGTGGCTACAGGAAATAAAAATTTGACGTAAGTGTGAAATTACCTTGCATATTTATAAATGATGGAACGAGCAAAGATGAGCCGTGGGGCTAATGGATAAAGTTCAAGCCAAAATGATCTTGTATGATTCAATTGATCCAACTCATTTAATACAATTAATTGATGCCGAGTCATTCAATGCAGGATCCTCGGCTATGTGCAAGTCACGTCATTTTTGGCGAAAATAGGATTGGGCAAATCTCTCGAACCGAACCAACCGAACGGAACCCGAACCCAACTAAATCGAACCCGACAGTTCTTGTCAAATTAAATACTCGAACGGGTATCTGAATTGAGAACCGACGGTACGATTCGGTTCTCGGTTCTAGACTAAGAACCGAAAAATCGAATAAGAACCAAATCTTTCTAATTTTTTTTTATATTAAGTAAATCAAATTATTTTAATTTTAATTTTTTCTAAACAAATTAACAATTTTTAAACCCAAATTTTTGGCACAATAATTTGTTTTATTTCTAATTTTTTAATTTTTGGCCCAATTACCCATTTTATTGTTTCATTTATTAGCCTAACAAGATACAATCCACTAAATAACCCTAGAAACCTACACTAAAGTGCATAACGTTGTCTCGACTCTCGCACTCACTCTCGCAGCCTTGCTAATATTCCAAAACCTATACAATCGTCGGTCGACACTGTGACCTCCGCCGACCGAAACTTTGACCGTAACGATCATTTGAACAAGATAGTCTACTAGTCTCTGACATTCCAAAACCATTGAATATATTATTAGTTATATTTATATAATGTTGTTATAAATGTTAAAAATTTTAATTATAGTACAGAACTGAACGGAACCGAACCCGAACGGTTCCATAATTATATTTGGACCCGACGGTTCCATTTACTAGATACCCAAAAATTTTGTTTCGATTCGATTCTCTTTAAAACCGAACCAAACCGACCCGCACCCACCTCTAGGCGAAAACATGCACATCAAGTAGAAGAGAACCGAACCAAACCGACTCACGCCCACCTCTAGGCGAAAACATGCACATCAAGTAGAAGTGCATACGTCAACAAATGGAGTTGTTACTATACTATTTTTTTCCTCAAACATTAGAATAAAGAAAGAAGTTCCAAATTTATAAATCCAGACAGCTGAAATTTTATACGATTTAAGATGAATCCAATGATTCCACCATAGAAACGCATCACAATAAAAATAAACAACCGATCCAATCATTAAAAACATAAGGAAATCATAATTTTAATAAAATTTTGATAAAAAAATTAATAAAATGTATAATTGAAAACTTGTAAGTCCTATAAAATATGTTATTAAAATTAATTTTTCACTTTTGTAACTGAATCAAATGTGAGGTTTATTCATTTTCGTGGGACGACCAACACAGTTATATTAAAATAATTTTCACAAGCATTAGTTCTATACACAAAAATTCATCAACACGTAAACAAAACAATAGAGGAGTTTAGGGAGAATAAAAGATCAAATCGCATACAGTGAATGCTCTTTTATAGCTTACACGTTTATAGTGGCATTTCCCCTATGGAATAAGCATATGAGGTAACATTTGACATTTCGGCAAATAAAGCAATGGACATGTGGTAGCTAGAACTTCATTATTAGAACTCGATGCACCATATGCAAATGGCGTGTGAATCTTTATCGTCTCCTAGCAAATCTTTGCCCTGCTCCAACCAACAGAGCTTTTCCTATCAGCCCCGTTTGGAGTCCACAAACAAGAGCAACAGCTCCACCAATAGCCATCCATCTCCAATCAATTCCACCATAATCCCTTTGTCTCTCAGTCTTCACAACTTCATTTCTCTCTTCCTCACAGGCTTCAGGCTCTAGTGGATAATTTCCTTCAACGGACAAAAATTTTGTAGTTATTCTTGCCATCAAAGCACACCGGGACAATGATGCCTCAGATTTTCTAGCATTTTGATATGCTCTGAAGCCACCATGCAACTTTTTAACAGTTCCCCACATTCCATGTCGAACACCCAACTTGGCGACATCCTTTGGGATTCCCATGTCTTCGTAGTGAATAAGTGTGACCTCACATGCAGATAACTGGCCATCTCCTTTAAGCGATTGGGCTGCATTTGTTTAGTGTAAGTAATGATGGATATGAATATCGAAAATTAAATTCTGGAAAACAACCACATTATCAGGAATATTTACCAGGTTTGATAATCCAGCTCGAGAAATAAAGATCCACACGTCTAGGTTTGGCACGCCTTGGCAAAATTGGATATGGTACCCCCTGCAGACACATTTTGTACATTAAGATGGATTCCCTACATATTGACCATGAAGTTGAACTATAGACTAAATGGCGAAAAATCGAGTCGCAATTGTACCAGATGAGAGGAACTGAACTAACCTAGACTTCTCAATCTTATGAACTGGGGGGAAAAAAGCAAAAACAACTTGAAAGAAAAACCAAACAAGTAACTGACTGGCCTCATTGAATAGAAAACAAATATAAATATTGGTTATTTGTCTTTTTCAATTCATGGGATCATACCTTAGTCACACAATAAAAATTTCTTCCTGCTTCCCATATCCTTCTACCAATGACATACTCCCGATCGCTGCAAAAAAAGGGAAACTGCATAGGAAGGAATAGTCAACATATCATCAGTCAGGAAACTGTTGTTACAATTGATATAATACGAGCATCAGTTCATCACTCCTGCGACACTGAATTGCAGCTTTTATTTCACAAACCTTTTTAATCCAGTGGACTATCATCATTCCTGTATCAGGGCATTCTTCTAATATTTTGACGTAAGCAAGCATAGGATCCCATTTAGGCCGAAACTCGTCATCCCAGAAAAAATCTCTGACCAGCTCAGGAGCTGCATCCTCAAAAATGGTTTTGCTGCGGTACATTATCGGACCCACCTGAGAATCCAAATGGTCTACAAAGTGAATTTCGCCATATTCGATAAGTGGCATTAACTGGAAGAAAGAAACTTCCATTCTTTGAGAGTCTAGCTACCAGGAAGATTTCCTAGAAATCTAAAAAATTCATTTTCCTTAATATGGTCCTAAATTAGATGCATTAAGCAACTTACAGAATTCATACGATATAAATAGTATTCAACATTGAAGCAAAGAGGTTTCAAGGTAAAAACAAAGAGAAAAAGAAGAATGTGAGCAAATATGAACTATCTAGATGTCTGCAAAATAAAATCACCAGTATATATTGCTTCAAACCATTCAGCAAGCTTAGAGCATGCAAGATACTTGTCCTGTAATGAACAAAATCGTTATCAAAGGGCCTGTCAACATTTACCTCGGGCTCGTGATGCCAAGCTTGGTATGTCATGTTTGATGTGGAGCGCTCCATCATCTCTTGCCAAACCAATTCCCCATCCTTCCCATTCAGAAGATGTAACAGGTGTTCCAGATCTTTCTCAGTGACACTATTCTTTTCCTCATCTGGTCTTCCACTAGGCCTGCACAAGGAACAGAGTCAATATTATGCAATAGATTCTCCCAACAATGCAACAAATATAATACTTTTTCAGTGGGTGGTCAAATATTCAGCGACTTAAGCTAGTATAATAAAAAAATTGCTTGATGTTTAGAACGCAGGCATTAAAGAGCTACACCATCCAAGCACTTGACAATTCAACAAATTGATGCTAATCACCATATGTACCAGTCTTCCTTCATTTCTGATCTTAAACCTGACAATGGTACAGCCTTCCACATTAATTTAATTGTTTAAACAGATTAATAGAAGCTCAGCAATTTATTGGAATGTTCTTAAAGGCTTCTATACTGATTTAGTTGTAGATAAACACTGGTAGAAGCTCAGTAAGAAACTGTATGAAGAGAACAAACAGTCAATATCTCTTTCAAGCAATTCTGAAGTGCTACATCCTAAATCTTCTGTTTAACATTTCTATGGTTTGTGAAATGAACTTCACTAACTTCGAGCTACATTATTAATTTTTTGTTTTCATGCTTTAATTACATTTATGTTAGCCCTTCTAGTGTTTTACATCCTCCTTTCCTTCAATTGTCTAGGCATTTAATCCACCAAAAGCCTCTCATTATCCCAACCAAACAGGACAATGTACACCTTTTACTCCCAACTCTATTTTCTTCCGACTTTTCAACCCAACCAACCAGAGGCTAGGCTAGATTCCGGACATATTCTAATAATAAACAAATAACACATGGAAGTTCCTCCACTAATTTGCCTCGATATCAACAAAGCAGGAACTAGTAACGGTAATGATAGAAAGACCATTAGAGCACTTCAATACTCATACAAATGCACCATAAGCATTCTGAATTGTCATAGATGGAATAGGGGGAAGTCAAATTGCCAATTTTTGCAGCAAAATATTACATTAATGTATTTTTGTCATGAACTTATAAAATTTCAAATTATTTGAGGATTTTAATCATTTCGATGTGTAATTATGTAAATGGTATAACATCATAGAAGAAAAATTAAGTTTCACTTTTAATATTATTTGTGCAACTATAATGTAGGGGGAAAAAATAATGCCATGTACGTAGATTTTTTTCCTCACCACTTCTCAGCATCAGTTGCCGCACTACCCCTCCCTTTCTCTCCCAACCCTGAACAACCTTCTTTCTACGCTATCGGCCTCACCTCTACCTGGCCCTGTATCGCTCATCTATGACAAGCTAACCCCCACCAGTGCCATCAC